CCCATAGCTCAGTGGGTAGAGCGCTGGCCACTACACCAGGTCTGGCAGGTTCGAACCTGGCCTGGGCCTGCTAAAACAACAATGACAACTACAACAAAAATAGTAGTCAGGCATTGTGGCTGGTGCCTGTAGTTCCAACTATTTGGGAAGCTGAGGTAAGAGAATCACTTAAGCCCAAGAGTCTGAGGTTGTTGTGAGCTGTGATGCCACAGCACTCATGACAGGGCCACAGCTCGAGACTCTATCTCAAAAAAAAAAAAAAAAAAGAATGAAATATATTGGAATTAAACCTGATATATTAACTGAAAAATAGTGGACAACTTCAAGAACACATGTGCTCCTAACCCCTACATATATGCTCCTAATTCAAAACTTGTCTAAAATTCATAAATAAGTATCACATATTTTATATTAAAAGTATTTCTAGGCACAATTTGGGGATCTGACTGCACTGTAGCCTGACTACACTTAGCTCTGATGCTTTTAATCCCAATGAAATGAAAATCTGAGAACACTGAAACACTTTCATACACATTTAGTCCTTATTAAATGTAACCCCAAGACGACACTTCTAGCATTGCTCTAACTCCTCTGCAAGTAAAAACCTCAAAGTTTTGCAAAAATCACAAATTCCATATTGGTTTTGGTTGCTGCGGTGTGTTGAATTGTTCAGTTATTTGTTCCAACAATTGGAGGCAGTTATATTTAAACAACTTTCAGAAGCTGAATTGATATTGTTAGATTATTACTAACTGAAGCCCATAGATTTTCTTAGTTCTTACCTAATGCCCCCCTCCTTTTTTTTTTTTTTTTTTGGTGGTCCCAGGATCCCATCTAAGACACTACCTTGAATTTTATCATCACATATCCTAGGTTCCTGTTGGTTATGACAATCCTTCAGAATATCCTTGTTTCTGATGACCATGACTATTAGAGGACTCCTGGTTAGTTGTTTTGAAGGATGAACCTTAACTGAGATTTGACTTTTTCTCATGATTAGATTGGAGTTGTAAGAAGAAGACCATAGGCGTAAAGCGCCATTTCAACACATCCAATAAAGGGCACTGTGTTCTGTTGAACAGTGTCCCCTCCAAGTTCATGTCTGCCTGGAACCTCAGGATATGACCTGATGATGGAAATAAGGTCTTTGTGGCTGTAATGAAGTTAAGATGGGATCACACAGACCAGGATGACCCAATGACAGGTCATTGTCATGAAGGGTGAGGAGAAGAGGGGTGGAGAAGACAAGGAGAGAGGAACACCAATGTCCGGTTTCTTTCTTTCTTTCTTTCTTTCTTTGACAGTTTCACTTTGTCACCCTCACGGTTGAGTGATGTGGCGTCACAGCTCACAGCAACCTCCAACTCCTGGGCTGAGGCGATTCTCTTGCCTCAGCCTCCCAAGTAGCTGGGACTAAAGGCGCCTGCCACAGTGCCCAACTATTTTTCATTGCAGTTTGGCCGGGGCCAGCTTCGAACCCACCACCCTCGGTATATGGGGCCAGTGCCCTACCCACTGAGCCACAGATGCCGCCCCAGGTCTTGTCTTAAATCCTGGCATCCAGGGACTGTGGTTATGTGAGCATGCTTCCTTATATGAAGAGTGAACAAAAGCAGACACACAGAGAGCACCTCATGTAACCACCGAGGCTGAGACTGGAATTAAACTGCCACAGACCAAAGATTGCCAAGGGTTTTGTGGCAACACCAGAAGCCAACGGAGTCATGGGACAGCTTCTCCCCCGGAGACTCCCCGCTGTCCCGAGAGCCAATCCTGCCACCTGCTTGCTGTTGGACTTCTGGCCTCTAGAACTGTGAGAGAATTAAAGTTCTGTTGTTTTGTCATCAGCTTTGTTAATTTGTTATGGCAGGTTAGGAAACAAAGTACTCATCCCGGTTCCCATTAACCCGGGGCAGCTGGCTGAGGCAGTGTCATGAGATTTCTCTGCCGTGTGTTACTATTCCCCACTTTCCATGTGGCGCTCTTTGGAAGGAAGTCACTGGGTATAACCCGACTTTCAGGAGTGAGGAGCTATACTCCATATCACGAGGAACTTTTACTTGTTGCTATTGTGAAAGAAATTTCTTCTTTTAATATTTTCATAGACATTATTTCCCAAATAAAGGACTTACATGATTTGTTGAAGAACTTGTATGTAGAAACTTTTTTTTTTTATTGAGTCAGAGTCTCACCATGTGGCCCTTGGTGGAGTGCTGTGGTGTCACAGCTCACAGCAACCTCCAACTCTTGGGCTTAAGTGAATCTCTTGCCTCAGCCTCCCAAGTAGCTGGGACTACCGGCGCCCGCCACAAGGCTCAGCTTTTTTTTTCTGTTGTTGCAATTGTCATTGCTGTTTTAGCTGGCTGGGGTCGGTTTTGAACCCACTACTCTCGGTATATGAGGCTGGCACCCTACCCACTCAGCCACAGGCATTGCCCCTTTATGCAGAAACTTTACTAAACTCCTTTGATAATTCCATTAGCTTTTTTCCCATTTGGTTTGTTTGTATTGCCTGGAATTATAACTCAGGCAGTCCCTGAGTCACAGACATGGACTGATGTACAACTTGTACTAATGAACAGAGGCAATTACAGGTACAATAACAGGTGAGAGTACCTGTTCCAACTTACATTCTATGTACAAATTCGACTTAAGAACAAACCTGTAGAACCCATCTCATTCGTGACTCAGGGACTGCCTTTAACACTTTTGTCTTTTGTTTCTGAACATTTACACATTGCATTTCTGTTTCCTGTCTGATTACATTGGTCAGGATTTCCAGAAGACTATTCAGGAAGAGCATGCTGGGAGATCTAGTGCCCATCTTAGGGTGTTTGTCTGTGGGGGCCCTCTGTTCTTCTGAGTCCCTTCCCTATGCCAAGCCTTCAGTTCTAGTGTGACGATTACTGTTCAGGGACAGCACCTGTCCCCTTGGGTACAGAGCTGAGTGCCTGTCCAGGTCCTGCCAAACACAAGACCCTATTTCCCTGGCCGGGGTCATTGTTCCAAAGGTGGGCAAGAAACTGAAGCAGGGCCAATTAGGTTTTCTCCCATGTTTTGTTAGTTTGGAGCCAGAAGAGGGGAGCGTCTTACTTTCTGGCTTATCGGAGGCTGTGGGGGAGGCAGGAAGAGAGAAGATGCCTGGGAGAGAATCACAAGGGTGAGGAGAAGCGGGGATGGGGACAGCGAGGAGGGGGACACTGATGGTCTTGTTTGTAAATCCCTGCATCCAAACTTCCTGGTTATGTGAGCCAAAAAAATGTCTGTTTTCCATTTTCTCTGCTTACGTTAGGTCACCTACAACAGGAAGAATTTTGACTATTAGGGAAATCATTCTTGTCCCGGTAACTAACATTGTTAGACAGTGGTGCCAGGCTGAAAGCGCGGGGCATGACGCAGGCCCTGCACCTGTGCGACCCCATCTCCACCACTGGCCATGGAGATACTGCTTCGAGTTTACAGTTGAGGAAATCGAGGCTCTGGGAGGCAAGCAAGTTCCCCGGGCTCCAGGTGGATTGCGGCAGACGTTTCTTGAACCCATGTCCTCCCACACTAGGCTGATGGATAAACATCTGAGAAGACCAGGGAACGCCAGTGGCACTGCTTGGAGAATGGGAGCTGTCTGCCCTGTCCTTGCTGCGCTCTTAACGGGGTTTGATCCGAGTGCAGGCCGCAGACGCGCCCTAGGTGTGCCTTCCCTGGGCGCCGCTTCCAGCCAACGAAGTAGAAGTTATGTGAACTTCAGAATACTAGGGGAATTGGTTTCTTTGAAAACTACCTATAAAGTCCAGGAGCTCAGGTAGCTAAACTTTTAAGACTGAGGCGAGGAGGTGGGAGTGCGTAGTCTCTGCCAATCCAGAGACATCCTGGTATCTGTGATGGAACAACGGGCAGGGATAAGAGTATGGCCAACTCCAAACCAGTCCCCGAGCGCGTGCTGAGCGCCACCTGCAGAGCCCGGGGTCAGAGACTCAGAGGACCGGTCCCCAGAGGGCTTTCCGTTACTTTCCAGAGGTTTTTCAAACTTTGCCCTCCAAGCGCAGCAGTTCTCCGCCTCTGCAGGCCCGCGGGCGTCCGCAGTGCAGGCGCGGCGCGACGGGGACGGCCAAGGTCGCGGACTGGCTGGCG